GTTTTGATGTAGAGTGAGGAATAGACCATTTACTTGCATTAATTAAAAAATACCTTCTAGAAGGAGGGGGTCATCTTCCCAAAGTCTGATGACTGCATCCGAACAGGTTAGGGATTCTGTACAAGGAAAGCCAAAGGGAATAGGTGTGCCTACACAGGTTCTCTATTTTTTTGCTTCCTCTCCCTTGTTAAGGTCTGTAGGAAGGTTCCCTCACGGAAGTCCAAGGATAGCAGGAATGCAGACCCCCTCATTCAGCCCTTCCTGGAATAAAGGCTTTCTCTTTACTCGGAGTGGCCAGCCTAGGTCACCTACCTAACAGACTACTGATGATCAGGGATGCTGTTTGTAAGATGATGGAGAGCAGGGCTTTTCCACCTTCTGTGGAGGCTACAGTCAACTTGGGGAGTGTTTAAAATCTGATACCCAGGCTTCACCCTCAGAGATTTTGTTTTAATTGAGTGGAAACCAGACATTCCAGAAGGTTTTGATGTAGAGTGAGGAATAGACCATTTACTTGCATTAATTAAAAAATACCTTCTAGACGGAGGGGGTCATCTTCCCAAGGTCTGATGACTGCATCCGAACAGGTTAGGGATTCTGTACAAGGAAAGCCAAAGGGAATAGGTGTGCCTACACAGCCAGTGCTACAGTCTTTGGGTCCCACGATGATGTTTGTGCCCTTGGTTTTCAAGTCACAAGACATTTGTTTGTGTCAAGTAGAAGTGGGTTCTCTCCAAGGTCTGTTTCCCATTCTGAAGTCCCAAACTAAATTAAGAAGATTTTTTTCCACATAAGTCCATCTGTCTTTTTTCTTCTCCACAAACAGGGTGTCCTGTTCCCAGACCTGAGCTGATCTACCACCTGGAACATGGGCAGGAGATATGGACAGTGAAGAAAGACCTTTCCCAAAGCATCTGTCCAGGTAGGAGCAAAGATCCAGGCAGGTGGGAGTCTCTGCAGGCTTGAGACTGGGAGGAGACCCATGGCCCTGTAATTGTTGGGAAGCTGCTTCTTGTGGCCTTTCTGGGGGTTTGGAGCCATGGATCCTTTTGACCTGTGATCCTTCTATCCTCCCAGCCCCATTACACTCGTCTTCACTCCTTGGGAGGTGTGAGGTTATGAGCAGGGTCTGTCTTGAGGCTCTAACTGCATGGGCTTGAAACTTGGCTTCTTAATCACCAGCTTTGTGGCCCTACTGAAGTTGCATGATCTTGAACCTTTGTAAATAAGTTTGGCTAAATTAACACTAGCTGCTATATCAAATTCCAATATCTCAGTGGCTTGGCACAAGAAAACTATTTTTCTTACTCATACCAAGCAAGGTATGTGTGCATTGTCAAGGGGATCTATGCCACAAAGTTATTAAGGAACTCAGGTACCTTCTGTCATAAACCTGTTGTTTTAAGATTGTCCTTGTCATTGCTTTGTGTAAGGGAGGATGTAAGCACCTGATGCATTCATGTATAAAAGAGCACAGTGTCTGAGCCTACATAAGGGACTCATCAAAAGTAAGTTATAAGTTATGAGTATTATTCAAGTCATATTAGTCATAACGAACAGTGATATCTCATGTTTTCTTCTGAACTCTGAGGAAAAGGGCCTTTCTTACTCTCCCAATTTCTTTCTTCAGCTATATTCTACTCTACTCTTTCCCACCTTCTCCATCCACCCATCCTCTGAGTGTCAGTCTGACACTAAGAAGCAGTCCCTTCCCCATATCTTCCTACATCTCCTGTTTTGTAAAACCTCAAGGTGACATTTGACCTTCTCTATTCTATGTCAAGGCTGCTGAGGGCACTGAGGCCATCCATCATGCATGTTCATTGGTGCCGTCACAGACTTATGGTCTCTTTCCCCATGGTTCCCTTGGGCTGCTCAGCCAGATCATGAATGTCTTTGTCCAGCACATCTGTAGCTCCTCAGAGTCTGTTCCAAACCTTCCTTCTCTCCTCAGTCCCAATCTCTACTTGAATATGTCAAAGTACAAAACTCACAGGCCTGACAAGAAACCTGTGATCTTGCTCACTACTACCTTCTCCCAAGTTTCTGTGAATTGTCATGCCATCCAAGCAGGTTAGAAGACTGGATGTGACTTCAGACAGTTACCCAACACCTCCATGTCATCAGTTCCTACATCCAGTCATCCAGACAATTACCATGTCTCAGCATATGACTCCTGATGTGTCAGCAAGTTTCCATGTTGAAAATAATAAAGCCTACCTCCTTGCATTGCTTGGTCATCAACCTGTCATCAGTTCCTACATCCAGTCATCCAGACAATTACCATGTCTCAGCATATGACTCCTGATATGTCAGCAAGTTTCCATGTTGAAAATAATAAAGCCTACCTCCTTGCATTGCTTGGTCATCAACCCTTACACATTCATCTCAGCTTTTAATATCTGTAGCTTCTGTTTTCCCCTGGTGGAAGAGGTCTTACCCCTGGCCATGGCCAGTTCCTACAGCAGAGCGTAGATAGCACCTTTAATAGATATTCCTTCTTCACTTATATTCTGCTTGTTTTGTAACTTTTCTTTCTCTGCTCAACATAAAAATATGCTCAAATTCTTACACTTGAAGAAAACAAAACAATTAAATACTCGTGGCTCACAGCGTATTCATATATTCATTGACTCTCTGGGCGTTTGTTTGTTTACACGTTGTCATTCTCATCAACAGTGATGCTGTGTACATTAATATACAGTGTTCATCTTCCACATGTGTGGGGGCACGTTTTGGTAATGTTTTTGAAGTGAAATTATAGGATTATAGGCTATGCAAATGTTCAAGTTTGCATGATTATTCCCATTCTTTTGTAAAGAGCCTCTATTAATTTGAACTTCACCAGGAGTGTGGGAAGTTCCATTGATCCATATCCTGTTTAATACTTCATAACATAAAGCTTCTCAATATTGCCCATCAGATGGGCACAAAGTAGTATCTTCTGTGCTCATGAGATATTGTATTTTCCTCATTGCTAAAAGGTTTTAGCAACTTATGATTTTGGGCCAATTTATATTCTGTGAAATGTCATTTCATAATAAATGCCTATTTTTCTGTTAACTTGTTTGCCTTTCTCTTTTTGATTTGTAGGGATTCTTTGCACATTCCTGATGTTTATCTTTTATCGGTTACACATGCTACAAATATATTCTTCTAGTTTTTAATTTTGTCCTCTCACTCTTTTTGGGGTGTTTGTCTTTTGGCAGCTGGCTAGGATGGGAATCTGTACTATCTCTAAAGTATCTTTTGCTGAATAGAAGTTCTTATTTTAGTGTAGTCTAATTTATGACTCTTTAAGTGATTAAACATTTTGTGTCTTGTATAAAAAAAGTCCTTTTCCCAAGTATTGAAAAGATATTCTTGTTTATTTGATTCTAAAATTGTAAAGCTGGACATTTGGCACTTAAGTTTTATCAATGTGAGATTGATTTAGATTATGTAGTGAAGTATCAATGCAATTATTTTCATTCCCTGTATGAGTAGCCAATTTTTCTAGCTCCATTTACTAAATTCAGTAGTCAGACCATCAAGTTCTATGGTAAATGGAGTTGGTATTTTACAGGGAATTTTACTGAATTTAGGGAATTGTCAGTTTATATTATTCTTCATGTTAATGTCTTCTGGTACAGTGTTATAGTTTTCTCCATCTAGGTCATGTGTATTTTGCTCATATTTGCACCAAGCTCTTTCTTACACATACCAGACTCACTGTGTCCAGTCAGGTCCTGCTTAACCTTCTTCTTTGTGAGCCCCAGCCTCAGAGTGGCAGTGGCCATCTTTGCTGTGACTGAACTCAGAATCTTGGGAATCACCTTCTCCTATGTCCCTACCTATCCCTGAATTGTCATCAACACCATCCTGCAGTTTCTTTGTACATTCTGTTTCCTAAAGCTACAGTGCCCTGCCCATTTTTTCCTTATAACAACTCCTTTGTTGGTCAGTAGGACTCATTTCATTGGATACCTCCTATTGGAAAGCTCCCCTGATTTCTTCTGTGCAGGATTAGCCAAAATCAAGGTTAAGAACTCAGACTTCTAAGACTGCCAAATCTGTGCAATTCTTCTGACACCAACTACAAGTTTGGGAATTCCCAAAACAACCCTCAAGTTCACTACTTTGCTAAGAAGACTCACAAAACTCCTATTATAGTCATGTTTATTACAAAGTATTCAAATTAAAGGAGATGTGGATGTGAGACTGGAAAGGTTTCAAACACAAAGTCTCAGTGTCCTCATTACGCCCCAGCCTTGATACATGGCAATATGGGCTTGAAGTGTTGTCCCCCAGGACACCCACCAGAGCTTTGGTATCCAGAGTTTTATTGAGGCTTCATTACATAAGCACAGTTGATTGAATTATTGCCTTTGTCACCTAATTTCTTGCACTCCTTCTCTTTGTGAGGTCCAGCGTATATCTGATGACTCAAGCCCTAATCTTCTAGTCATGTGGTTTGTCTTTCTGGTGTGGCCAGACCTTACCCTGAGTCTTTTCTTTAGGATAAACTGTTTAGGGACTTATAATGATTACCAATTTGCATGAACTGTCAGGGGCCCACTGTAAAGAAAAAAGACATTCTTGCAATACCCAGTATTCAGAGATTACTTCCCATAACTTTGGACAACAACCATCCTTCTCTTTGGCGAGTTAATTTTTCATTATACACTTCTTGTCTTCCATGTGATTGTATTAGGTGCCCATTCCTATTGTTCTTGTAGTAACATGGGATGTCCTCATTTAGAGGAAACTTGCCACACACAATGTCATTATTACTCTGTTTACCCCTTTCCAGTCTGGAATTGTGAAGTGACTCTACTACAGAACCTCTGTTCCCTGACCCAGTCTCTCCCCCCGGGTCTGCCTTTCAAGGTATCTGGAGTCTGAGGACCAGGAAAGAAAGAAATCGCAACCCTAAGTTTGACAGATAACAGACCTTAACAGATACTGGCAGTATTTTCATATTCAGTTTTTCATGGAAATGGTAATTTTGTGTCTTCTGTGTTTTCATTACTAACAAGACTTATTGTGTATTGGATTTCTTCCAGGTGACAAAGGAAAACCCAAGAACACAGAACCTACCACTTGTGACCCAGCCTTGTCCAAGGGAGTCTCACTCCAGGGACAGCTAACACAAGGATCCTCAAGGGACCCCCAGTGGGGGCAAGCCAAGGATCAGGATGAGCCATCTGACATGCAGGGACACTTGAGACCAGGGTTAGGTCCCCAGAAGGAAAAGTTTCCTGGGAAAAGGAGCCCTGAACATGGTGGTTTAGGGACAGCTGAGGATGTGTTTTCAAGTGTTATACAGGAGCAGGTCTCTTCAGAAGATATAGTCCATAGCCATAACTCACGTGGATCAGGTCAAGATCCCATGATTCAGGAAGAGGAAAATATCTTCAAGTGCAATGAGTGTGGGAAAGTTTTTAACAAAAAACACCTCCTCTCAGGACATGAGAAAATTCACTCTGGAGTTAAGCCCTATGAATGCACAGAGTGTGGGAAAACCTTTATTAAGAGCACACATCTCCTTCAACACCACATGATTCACACTGGGGAGAGGCCCTATGAGTGTGCGGAGTGTGGGAAAGCCTTTAACCGCAAGTCGTACCTTACACAGCACCAGCGGATTCACAGTGGAGAGAAGCCTTATAAGTGCAATGAATGTGGAAAGGCCTTCACCCACCGCTCCAATTTTGTCTTGCATAATAGGAGACACACTGGAGAAAAATCCTTTGTGTGCACAGAATGTGGGCAAGTGTTTCGACATAGGCCAGGTTTCCTTCGACACTATGTCGTTCATGGTGGGGAGAATCCCTATGAATGCTTGGAGTGTGGCAAGGTCTTCAAACACAGGTCATACCTCATGTGGCACCAACAGACTCACACAGGGGAGAAGCCCTATGAATGCAGTGAATGTGGGAAAGTCTTCTTAGAGAGTGCAGCCCTGATTCACCACTACGTCATCCACACCGGGGAGAAGCCCTTTGAGTGCCTTGAGTGTGGGAAGGCCTTCAACCACAGGTCATACCTCAAGAGGCACCAGCGGATTCATACTGGGGAGAAGCCTTTTGTGTGCAGTGAATGTGGTAAGGCCTTCACTCACTGCTCTACTTTTATCCTGCATAAAAGGGCTCATACTGGAGAAAAACCTTTTCAGTGCAAAGAATGTGGGAAAGCCTTTAGCAATCGGAAAGACCTAATTCGACACTTCAGCATCCACACTGGAGAGAAGCCCTATGAGTGTGTGGAGTGTGGGAAGGCCTTCACACGCATGTCAGGTCTCACAAGGCACAAACGGATTCATAGCGGAGAGAAGCCTTATGAATGTGTTGAGTGTGGGAAATCCTTTTGCTGGAGCACAAACCTCATTCGACATGCCATTATCCACACTGGAGAGAAGCCCTATAAATGCAGTGAATGTGGAAAGGCCTTCAGTCGCAGCTCATCGCTCACTCAGCATCAAAGGATGCATACTGGGAGAAACCCTATTAGTGTAACAGATGTGGGAAGACCTTTCTCAAGTGGGCAAACTTCAGTTACCCTTCGAGAACTCCTTTTGGGGAAAGATTTTTTGAATGTAACCACTGAGGAAAATCTTTTGCCAGAGAAAACATCTTCGACATCTGATCCTCCATACCAAAGAGAAACCCCACAAGTGTCTTCACTGTGAGAAAACCTGTTGCTGCATATTACTTGTCATCTAAAGAGTCATATTAGAAATTGACTCAGGGCCAGCCTGTGGCTCACTTGGGAGAGTGTGGTGCTGATAACACCCAGGCCACAGGTTCGGATCCCTATATAGGGATGGCCGGTTAGCTCACTTGGGAGAGTGTGGTGCTGACAACACCAAGTCAAGGGTTAAGATCCCCTTACCGGTCATCTTTTAAAGAAAAAAAAAAAAAAGGAAAGAAATTGACTCAGCCTAGAGCCTTATTCTCCATCTGAGACTTTATCCCAGCCAGAGAACCAGTTGTTATTATGCACATAGGAAAACCTTCATCTATATCCTTCTTAGTTTACAGTGCAGTCTTATCTCAGGAATTATTTTAAAAATAAAGAGGAGACATAGAAGAAAATGAAATGCAAGCATGGGTCTTTTCAGACTTCTGCCAAGCCAGTGGCACTTTGTATTTAATTCCTTAGTTTATTTGGGGCAAAGGGATTGTTGTTTAGGATGTAAAGGGCTTTGACCCTTTTTATGTTTTGTATACATTCATTGCTGTCCAGTGTCAGGAGAGTTAGACAGCTGAAGGCAAGCCTGCAAACTTTTATTGCGCATCTTCTGTGTTCCACAGTAGTATTTTCTCTACTCTTGATAATCATAACTTTTTATGAGAAACTAGGGGGCTTGAGCCATGAAATACTTTTATATGTAAGGCAATAAGGATGCACATATGAATGCCCTCCCTCCTTTGTTTTTGGTGGCTAGGTGGTGTTGGGATCTGAACCCTGAATGGGCCCATTATATTGCACAAGTTAAGACTGTTTAAGGCTTGATTTTTTAAAAAAGCAAACCCTTTCTTCATGTGGTTTTAAAAACTTAACACTCAGACTTTTTCTTGATCCCCATCTGTTGGTTTAATGATTGCTGTAACTATATGATAAATGTTAGAATTGGGTAAAGTGATTCATCCCTATTCTTATTTAAAAGTGATTTGGCATTTCTAGTCCTTTGACTTTCCATACAGGTTTTAGGATAAGTTTGTCTATATTTACAAAAAAGCCTTGCTCAAATTTTTACACAGAAATTGATTTAGATCTAAGTCTGTAGAGCAGTTGAAACTTGGTATCATTAATATTGGGTCTTGCAGTTCATGAATATAGCATGTCTCTTCAAGCATTTCTTAATTTATTTCATTAGTGTTTTATAATTTTCAATGTATAGATAGTCTACATTTTTTTTAAATTGGCATCTAGGATTTTTTTGTTTATTTTTTGTGGATTTTTTTTTTTTTTAGTGTAAATGTCAGGTTTAAACTTTGAATTCCATGTGATGGTTGGTAATAAAAATTTTGGGGGGTGTTTTGCTATCCTGCAACATTGCTGAGTTCCTTTTCTTTTGATAGAATCTTTGGAAATTTCTGCATAGAAATGTCGTCTGCACATACAGTTTAATTCCTTCTTTCCCATCTGTATACCTTTTATTTCCTTTGTTCTTATTGCCTGAGTTAGAACTTCCAATATAACTTTGAGTAGGAATAGTAAAAAAGGCTCACCTTAACCTGGTTCTTGATAGTAGAGGGAAATCGTTTACTTTTTCACCATTAAGTACAATGTTAGTTGTAAGTTTTTCTTAATAGATGTTCTTTATAAAGTATAAAACATTGTCCTCTATTCCCAGTTTGCTTAGATGCTGTGTTATAATTGAATGAGTGCTGGATTTTCTCAAATGCTTTTTCTCCACCACTTTGTATGATCATGTGATTTTCCTTCTATAGCCTATTGATATGATATATTACATTGATAAAGTTTTGAATATTGAGCCAGCCTTGTCTCCTTAGAATAAACCACACTTGTTTGTGGAGTATAATTTTTTTATATATCATATGACATTAGTCCATTTGCTTATATTTTGTTGAGGTAATTTTCCTCTAAATGTTTTGAGTTATAACAATGTGTAGTTCTTTCTGGTTTTGGTTTTTTTGTTGTTGTTCTCGTTTTTAATATCTCATATCTGGATTGGATGTCTACATGATTCTGGCCTCCTAAAAGGAGCTGGAAGGAGTTCTCATATATTTTTGGGAAGACTGTGTGTAGAATTAGTGTTATTTTTTCTTTTTATATTTGACAGCATTCTCCAGTAAACCACTGGGCTTTGGGCCTGGAGATTTTGCTTTTGAGATCTTTTCAATTATGTATTTATTTTATTTGATTCATGTAGAACTATTTAGAGAATATTTAATGCATAATACATTTTGATATTTTATCCTTTTGAAGGAATAATTACATTTTATCTAAGTTTTCTCATTTGTTTGTAGCATTGTTTGAAGCGTTCCCTTATTCTTTTGATGACAGCTGGATCTGTACTTAATATTTCTTGTTTTATTCCTGATATTAGAAATGTATCCATTCTTTTTTTTTGTCTTTTTCAGTCTTCTTAGACATTAATCAATTTAATTGATCATTTCAAAGAACCAGCACTTTATATCACTGATTTTTCTCTGCTCTTTTCCTGTTCTTAATTTCACTGATATGCTCATATCTATTTTATACCCTTTTTTCTACTTGCTTTGGTTGTATTTGGCTCCTAGTAATTTCTTGAAGTGGGTGTTTATATTATTGATTGGAGGCTTTTTATTTTCTAATGTAAGCATTAAGTTCTATAAATTTCCCTCACAGCACTGTTGGCCTCATCCCATAAATTTTAATATGTTTTAATTACATTTTATTTAATTCTATAATTTCCTGATTCTTTTTGAGACTTCCTCTCTAATGTATTAGTTATTTAGAAATATTTTGGATTTTTTTTTTCCTTTTTGTCTTTTTTCGTGACCGGTAACAGGATCGCAACCCTCGGTGTCGCGCCTGCACCACGCTCAACCAGTGAGCAGACCGGTCTCTATATGGGATCCGAACCCTCGGTGGGAGCGCCGCCACGCTCCCAAGCGCTGCACTCTACTGAGTGCGCCACCGGACTGGCCCTAGAAATATTTTGTTTAATTTCCTAGTGTTTGGAGTATTTCTTGCTGTTTCTTATTGATTTCAAATTTGTTTCAAGTTTGATCTGTTTATATTTGACTTTTTTTTTTTTTTAAGACCCAGGATATGGTCTATCTTGTTCTCTATGACTTCTTGAAAAGAATGTGTGTTCTGCTGTCATTAGATAGAGTTTCTCTAAATGTCCTTCTGGTTGCTGGTGTTATTCAGACAGGGATATTGAAGTCCAGAATTATAATTGTAGAATTATCTGTTCATCCTTTAAGTTCTGTCAGTTTTTGATTCATATAATTCAGAGCTCTGTTGTTTGGTACATACGTATGTTGGTTTACTAAGTCTTCTTGGTGTATGTTGACCTTTACTTCATTATGTAATATTCTTTTTTGCCTCTGTTAATACTTTCTGTCTTGTCTTTTTTTGGCAGCTGACTGATATAGGGATCTGAATCCTTGATCTTGTGTCACCAGCACCATACACTCCCAAGTGAGCTAACAGCCATCCCCCTCTCTTAATACTCC